CCCCAAAACCCCAAAACCCCAAAACCCCAAAACCCCAGCTGAGTTAAGAATAATTGAAAAGTCATAAAATTATTTAGAACATAGGCACTAGTGTTGACTTTTATTCATTTTTTAATTTGCGAGTGTCATTATAGACCTTGTAGTGATACCCTCTGTCTTTGTGAAGAGTTGGAGCAAGTGGGACAAACCAGTACGGAATGCTGTCAAAGCCAAGTTTACAGGAGAGATTATACCTCCAGTTGGTTGAATAGTATGGAGATGTCTGCCAGGTCGATATATTTCCCTTCTTCTTTTCTCAGTACTCCAATGTTGTGTAGTTAGTGAAGAGGAATCTTATGTGCAAACCTGTGAATCCTATTAGGACAACCATGAAGATGAATCCTAGTGTGTAAGCAATGGAGCATATGTAGAGAACGATTATATTGGTGTCTGGATCATCCATTAGTTTCAACCACACTTCCCAGTACGTACTTCAGAAGATGATTGCAGAGATCATGTTATAGAGGATGGTGTTAAAGAAGTACTTGTAATTTTTGAGACCAACACAGTTGTTTAGCCACGGACAATGGTGATCCATTGCAAGGATTCATGCATTACATACAGAGCAATGATGTCACCTATCTGGCTTACTAGTAAGGCATTTTAAACAAACCCTAACTTCTTTCTCATTCTTTCTTTCATAGGTTTGTTTGAACATAGGAAAGATGTTCTTCTTGTTCTTCTTAAGAGACTTGGGGTCTTCTCTAGATTTGTCTAAGAAAGCTTCAGACTCTCCTTCAGAGAGGTTATCACAAAAATCGTCTTTCTTTTCTTCTTTCTCACTGAAGTCATCATCTGTATCCTCATTTTGCTCTTTAAGGTCTCTGAATGAGCCCTTCTCACCTTTTAATTCTCTCACTATCTTTTGAATAAAGGCACTTACGTCTCTTACGAAGCTTGAAAGTAGTACTTTCTGAATCGATAGCTTTAAGGATAGTTCATTGCCTTCCGTTGTAGAAAGGCTTTTTGACTAAGCTCCAAGGCTTTTCCATGGCAAAATATTTTAACTTATTTGCCTTTTTCAAGTATTTTAGCGCATTTTTACTCTGAGTCTTCTCATCTGCGTCGTGGAGATGCTAATTTTAAAAGTAAAGACTTACACCAGAGATGTCAATGGAGAGAACATCGTCTCTTGTGTAGTTGTCTTTTTGTTTGAACATATCCAGACAATCTTTGCGTAGGGCCCATTCCTCCTCTTTTTCAAGGGTCCCTGGGGATGTAAAGGCAGCTCTGAAGAAAGATATATTGATGACGAGAAACAGCAAGACCATTGATCCTGCTAGAATGCACTGAAGACCCTTTGGTATCTTCCTAAGACCTGGGATTTTGTCTTTGTCTTCGTAGAAGAAATACCCCCAGCCATTCCAGTCATTAAATACGAGTGGAATTCAGTATGTGAAGATGTAGACCACTGAGACATAGTAGATGATGAATACTGCAATTGACATTGGCAAGATTGACTTTAACTTTAGACAAAGCATGCTTAAATAATCTCTTGCTGTGGGCTTCTCTCCCAATTCTTCAGGTCTAAAATGCTGTAACAGCTTGGCAATCCTGTTCATATCAGGAGTGGTTTTAATTTCTTCGTGATCAATGTACTTATTCGATTGGGAGTGACTACATTCACCTTCATCTTGGAGATCTCTTTTCCTTCTGGCAGCATTGCCGAGGCCATGAGCTTTATTTTTCGTCCTTACGAGATTGGTGTGGAGCACCTATAAAATATTAATAAGGGAAATTGAATTTACAACCACCTGTCGATCCATCTACGACTTCATCATGACTGATCTCAACTTTCTCGATATCGTCAAGCTTATGTGAATGGGCACTTTCAGGTTGGGCAGAGCTATGGTGGGACTCGGCTCCTGAGCCATCTCCATTACTTTTCATTGAAATATTATATAATTTTAGTCTAATTTTGGAGCCAAGGCTCTTCTGGTCAGTGGGGTTTTGGGGTTTTGGGGTTTTGGGGTTTTGGGGTTTTGGGGTTTTGGGG